TCCCACAGTGCTGGGTAAAGAGTGCTATTTTCCCACTTGGTTTAATTCTTTCTAAATGGTTAATACAAGGATCTCTGGTAGTATAGTGGTTATGAGATCTAAAAGTCAGCAGTTAGAAACTACCAGTCGTTCCATAGGAAAAAGACGAGGCTTTCTGCTCCTGTAAAGATTTACAGTCTCAGAAACCTTACAAAGGATCTCTGAGTCGGAACTGACTCCACAATATACAACCACCACCATCAAATGGTTAATTCATGTATATGTTTAAACAAAAGGGTGCAGAATGAAATGAATGCCTCGCTCTCCATAAATTCCTTGGTTGCTGCTCCTGGGTGGATCTTTCCAGATAGAGTTTGTCTTAGTTCTGTAGAGTTGCTGTAACAGAAATACCACAAGGGGGCAGCTTTAACAAACAGACTTTTATTTGATCACAATTTAGGAAGTTAAGGAGTCGGATTCCAGGGAACAAGCTCTAGATGAAGATTTTCTGTCAGCTCTGGAGAAGGGTCCTTGTCTCCTTTACAACGTCGATGGGCCTCGTGTCATTCATTGAAGATCTCCATCTGTTTTGGCAGCCGTTTTCCCCGGGGTGTAGGATGTTCTCAGGTCAGGGTCTAAAGATGCTCTCCTGGTTTTTCCTTCTTGGTGGTATCCAGGGCCCTCATTATCTGCTAATTTCTCTGTCCTTTCACCTCTTGTAAGGTCAAAGGTGATGCAGGTTTCACTCCAGGGAATCTCCCAGTACAGGGGATCAGGGCTCTGACCCGAGTGAGGGTGTTGAATACCCTCTTAATCCCCTTCAACTGATTGATCACATCAGATCCCATCACGGATAGTGACTGCATCATCATATAACTTCCAAACACCTTTTGGGGAAACACATTTTATTCATGACATAGTCTATCCTATATTCCTGTGGATTTATAGCTGAAATTATCCTTTAAAAAAAAAAAGGCACACTGGGGATCAAATATTATGCATAGTTCAATACTGATCACTTTCTCTCTCTTGACCAATTGTCCTCAGTGTCCAGCGTCTTCTATGGGGAATTTGTCCCAGATTTTCTGGTCTGTCCGATGGTTTTACTCTTCCTTTTTGCCCCCTTTTGTTTGTGACGCTTCTTTCTTTAATCTTTCCCTGTATGGCCTTGGTTTTGCTTGGCTTTAGTATGTATGTGACCCTTCTGACTATTTGGAAGACCCTCTGTCTGTGGGCAGGTCTAGTACTGAGCTAGAATCAGGACCCGTTGCTGTGAAGTCGAGTCCAACTCATGGCAGCACATGTGCACCAGAGTAGAACTGTGCACCATAGTGTCTTCAGTGGTGGATTTTTCAGTAAATATCCAGGCTTTTCTTCTGAGATGCCTCTGGATGGACTTGAACCTCTAACCTCTCAGACATCAGCCAGGGACTCCAGTACTGGGTTAGAGCCCTGATCGCTGATAAAGAAACAGTCTGGGAGAGAGGAGAGCCTGAGGGGACACAGCCCAGGCACCTTCTTTCCAAGACAGACAGCAAGAGTAGGTGTGGGTCTCTTTTTGGGGAGATTGGATGAATTCTGGGGTTACACCTACAGGAGTAAGCCTGGAGGTCCTGGGGAGGGCTGTGAGCAGGGGATGAGAGCCTCAGGCAGTGAGTTTTGGAAGGAAGGGATGGGGAGGCAAGTTGGAAGACACTGTAGCTAGTGGGTGAGAGGTAATGGGTCTCAGCATGATGGACACCAGAAAAGAGGGACAGGTGAGAAGTTCAGAAGGCAGTAGGGAATGGGGGAGAGGAAGAAGGGCAGGACCGTCACCGTCGCTGCATGGGTTGGGTCAATGGTTTGCTATGCTGTTGTTAAGTACCATTGGGTCAGTTGTGACTCATAGCAATCCAAGTATAACACACTGGAACATGGTCTAGGCCTGCACCATCCTGCTTGTGGCCATTTTTGCAGCCACTGTTTCAATCCATCTCATTCAGGGTCTTCTTTTTCGCTGACCCTCTACTTCAGCTGGCATGATGTCCTTCTCTAGGGGCTGACCTTAAGATAACAAGCCCAAAGTGCATGAGATGAAGTTTCATCATCCTAGTTTCTAAGAAGCGTTCTAGTTTTATTCTTCCAAGACAGATTTGTTTGTTTTTCTGGCAGTCCACGGGACCATTGTTGTTGGTGCTGTCAAGTCAGCTCTGACTCACAGTAACCCGATACACAACAGAACAAACTACTGCCCGGTTTTGCAACATCCTCACAATTTTTGCTACACTTTAGCCCAATGTTGATGCCACTATGCTAATCCATCTCATTAGAGGTCTTCTTCTTTTTCACTGGCCCTCTAAATTACCAAGCTCAATGTCTTCCCTTCTCCAGGGCCTGGACCCTCCTGATAATATGTCTGAAGTATGAGAGATGAAGTCTGGTCATTCTGGCTTCTAAGGAGCATTTTGACTGTACTTCTTCCAACCATGGTACCATGTACCAGTAATCTTTGTCAACACTATAATTCAAAGGCATCTTTTTTTTTTTTTTCCTTACTCTTCCTTCTTTATCAACCAGTTTTCATATGCACATGAGATGATTGAAAATAGATATAAGTATCATGGCTTGGGGTCAGTTGTATGTTAATTCTCAGAGTGACATCTTTGCTTTTGATCTGTTGACTGCTGCTTTCATGGGCATGGCTTGTTTGATCCAAGTAAAATGAAACCCTTGACAACATTAATGTGGTCTCTGTTTATCATGATGTTGCTTACTGCTTTAGTTGTAGAATTTCTGTTTCCTTTGTTGTTGTTGTGAAGTGCCGTTGAGTCCATTCTGACCCATAGCGACCCTGTATAGGGTTTCCAAGGAGCAGCTGGTGAGTTTGAATCATTAACCTTGCAGTTCAAATGGCTTTGCAGTCTGGCACATTAACCCAATTAATCCATACTGAAGGCTACAGTCTTTGATCTTTGCCGCATCTGACTAAGTGGCTATACTCCGCGACCCACACAGAGAGATTAAGCCCGAGTAGGGGCGATGGGAGATTAGAAAAAAAGCAAGACACAAAATGAAAATAGTAAAGTTGAGACCAGGTGGGACACAGCACTCTGATGGAGCTACTGTGACTACAACCTAGATTCAGCACGTTTATTATATTATACAAATCAAAGGAGAGTGCTGGGGGCAGGGGAAAGAGTGAAAAAAAAAATCTGGTGTTATTGATGTAAGCAGGACTTTATCAGAAGAATATAGTTGCAAGGGAAACAGATAAGGCAGCTAGATGTTTTAGCAGACTAAACTGAAGGCCATGGTTGTGTACAAGGAAAGACTTTGCAAATTCCTTGTTCCCTGAGGCAGGCTTTTCAAGTTCCTCAGGGGGCAGCTTGACCTGGGAGTAGCCTGATTTTCTGTACCACAACTCTTCAGTTGCAATCCTTTGGTTAAACTGCCCCAAAGTCTGAGATCTTTGATTTAGTTGCTCCAACAGATCTTCATGAGTAAGTGTGAAAATTCTAGGCTGGGATCTTAAGAGACAAAGAAGTACATCCCAAAGAGCATTGGTACAGTGGGGACAGATGTGGTACCAGGTGGGGGTGAGCTTTCTCCTCCAGGTAGGACAGATGTGGTACCAGTGGGATGAGGATGTGGGTACTGAAGGGACCCCCATTACCTGCTCCCAGAAAAGGGTATATCTGAGTGTCATCCTGAGGAAGAGTGTGTGTTCAGGTGGCCCAGGTTGAAGAACTGTCTACCAGTATATTGAATCAATTGAGCATAGTGACTGGGAAGGTTTGATAGAAAGGTTAAGGGGCTGGGGGTTTAGGTCAGTGATGAAGAACTCATTCAGAAAAAAAACAAAACAATGAAAATGGTGACACCATGGAAGGGAGTCTTACAGCCAGCCCAGGAACATAGCCTCAGGGTGGGAGCTGTGGTTCCATCATGGATCAAGGACCCTGAGTTAACAGAGGGTTAACAGAGGAGGGCACTGGGCCCAAGATTTAGTGCACCTGGATGGGGAGAAGTTGATGTGCAGCTCCTAGGAGGCCCAGTGGAGAAGCACCTAGGTGGGAGACCAGCACATGGCCAAAGTGTAGTCATTGTTCCCTTCTCTCTGAGTAGTTGTTGTTATTGGATGCTGTGGAGGTCATTCTAACTCACAGTGACCCTAAAGGACAGAGTAGAACTGCCCCAAAGGTTTTCCTAGACCGTAATGAAGATCAAAGAGCACAGCCTTTGATATAGTTGTACCTTCATGTAAAGAAAAGAAAAATCCTCACCACTGGACCAGTAAACAACATCATTATCAATGGAGAAAAGATAGAAGTCATCAAATACTTCATTTTGCTCAGATCAACCATCAACACTCATAGAAACAGCAGGCAAGAAATCAAATGACATATTGCATTGGGCAAATCTGTCACACAAGACCTCTTTAAAGTGTTGAAGAGCAAAGATATCAGTTTGAGGACTAAGGTGCTCCTGACTGAAGCCATGGTAGTTTCAATAAACTCATATGCATGTGAAAAAGGAAGACCATAGATGAATTGATGCATTTGAGTTCTCTTGTTGGAGGAGAATATTGAAAGTACCATGGACTGACAGAAGAACAAATAAATCCATGTTGGAAGAAGTACAGCCAGAGTGCTCCTTAGAAGCCAGGATGGTGAGACGTAATTTTCCATACTTCAGACATATTATCAGGAGGGAGCAGTCACTGGAAAAGGACATCATGCTGGGTAAAGTGGAGGGTCGGTGAAGACGAGAAAGACCCCAAATGAGATGGATTGTCACAGTGACAGCAGAAATGGGCTCAAGTGTAGCAGCAATTGTGAGGTTGGTGCAGGACTGGGCAGTGTTTTGTTCTGTGGTGCATAAGGTCACTATGAGAGGCCGGGTTTGATGGTGACTAGGGTGGAGGTGCAGTGAAGTTCTCCATCAGCCATACCACAGAACACCAGGCAAAGCAGATCCAGGGCAGAGCTCCAAAACTCGGAACCACAGATTTAGGAATATTTTTAAAGTTGGAAGGCTTATAGTTACTGGAACTTGAAGCTAAAGGGAAAGAGCAGGGCAGGACTGTAGAGAGGGAAAGAGAGTTTGAAAACAAAATAGGTTGCAAATTAAATTAAAGCCTGAGGTATAGCATAACAACCAACAATGGCATCTAGAAATCTCTCAGGCAGCTTTGAAAGCAAGAAGCTGAAGAGAGGACATTAAAGTCATACTCATATTAGGCTACAGATTAAAAAAATTTTTTTCTCTTTTCCTCCTCTCCCTTTTCTGTGATTATAGACTACAGTATCCAGTCCAGTTTTTGTTGTTGCTGTTTTTTTTCCCCTTGCTTCCCCCCACCCCCACCCCGCTGTGCTGTTTTGCTGTTTTATGCTCCCCCTTCTACCTTTGGGGGACTCTTTCTGTCCCTATATTACCCAAGAAGAGTCAGCAACTGCTGCCATATAGTCAAGCTACAATCACACTCTATAAAACTCCAAAACCCAGGCAA